GGTCTTGGGCAGACTGCAAGCCACTGGGCAGGGCCGTGACTTCCAACTTTATTCTAGTGTTGGATCAGGGGAAAAGATTTCCCTCTGTGTGGCCTACATCTGGCCCCTTGGAAACACTTCAATGTCATGAATAGGATGACTAATAATAAACTTTCCCCTGACAAACTCTGGGAGCATGGACTTCTCTAACTCAGCAAACTTTCTCCAGAGCTAGGGTTGGACCCAGTCTTCCAGATTTTTCCAGGTTGTGGGTATGACCTTAGTCCTCTGTGTCCAGCAGGCTGCAGGCTGCAGAGGACACTTAGACTCTTCCTGTCTCTTCGCCTATTACAGCTCCAGGGTAGAACACCATGCCTGAGACACTCAATACGTAGAAGAGATCACATGGTGTAGCAGTTAGATCCAAACACTGAATTCAAAATCTCAGCTCTGTGTTCCAAGGCCAGGCCAGCACCAACTCGGCTGTGTACTTACTAGCTGTGTGATCTAGGAGAGGCTAGTCCAACCATTCTGTGCCTCAGTTTCCTTATCTTTACAGTTGGGATGATATTAGGGGCTACCTCATAGGATTTTTAGGAAGATTAAATAAGATAAAATTCATAGAGCACTTAAAACAGTTCCTGAGACACTTTAGGCACCACACAAGTATTTGTTAAATAAATATCAGGTAAAAAAATGTTTGAATAATAAGTAACAAAGGTCAGTTAATGGCAACTTTACCAGGCACTGTTTAATTTCAGGAGTTCTGCGTTCTTTCATTATGATCAATTTTTGGGGGATGTCCAAACAGAACCTGCCTACAGCCACATCCCCCTGAAACATAGCTGGTGTCATAGCAGGGTCTGCGGGCCTTATTAAACACTACAAAGTACCCAGCACTGGTTTATCCCAAGTGCTAGGGATGCTAGCAAGGATGAGTCTAGGAAGGGTGACTCAGGATATGGGAAGGGATGAGCACAGCAAGGGTCTCCAGACAGAACTTTTCAGAAAGGGCTTCTGGGAAAAATAAAATCCAAGATGGGCACCGAGGCTGCCACTTCACAAGGCTCGGCCAGCCCCGCAGCCTGGCTATCCCACATCTTGTTGTGCTCTGTCTCTTACTGTCTATGCAGGAAAAGGATCTCCTCACGGATTGTGGGACATCCTGAGTATCCTGAGACAATTAATTATTCTACTGTTGACAGGCCTGAGGGGCCTAAAACTGAAGCATGGAGAGGTTATGCAACCCAGCCAGTCACGTAGCCTGGGTGAGGCAGAGCTGGGTCAGATCTCTGGACTCCAGATTTACATTTAAGCTGATGAGATACTCCTCCATGCTGCTATCCCAGCACAGACTTGGTTAGGGCACCAAACCTGCTAACAGATTTTCAGAAATGTGGGGCCAGGGAATCATAGGTCATTTGGTGAAAATGACATTACCAGGAAATTAAAACACTCAAAGTTCTGGAGAAAGCTGTGCATCAGGGTCAAGTAAGGAAAAAAAAGTTAAAACAAGACCAGAAATCAACTGTGGATATAAACAACAGGGACACTGATTTACTAAGGAAAATATGGATATAGGACAGAAGTATTACTACTTCACCGATATCTTCCTGAACCTAGTAAGGTTGGCGCAATCTCCAATACTTAAGATAGAGTGAGTTCAGAAGAAACAAGTTGTCAATGCATGTTTGAGTAACTGGTCATTTAGGAATGTACTTAAAAATAGTTTTATGATGATTCAAATGAAGTTGGGAGATTACCCACCTTTTATGACCTGCTCTTTCCCAGTTTTCTGGTTCCCATAGAGTGGGACAAAATGTGGTAGAAAGAGAATGGGGTCTGGAATTGTACAGACCTGGGTTCAAATCTTTACTCTGCTACTAATAGCATGACTTGAGCAATTTGCTTAGCCTCTCTGTCTTTCAGATTTTTTTTCCCTAAGGAATTGTTATAATACTGACCACAAGACTGAAGTAAGCAAAGCCTCTACCAAATGCCTGGTATATAATAGACACTCAGTTAGGTCTGGACTGCAGTGTGTCTTAGACTTATTTGAAATGCCAGTTGAAAATGGATTTTTCAAAAACATGATATTGATGCAAGGATAGACAGATGGGTCAACAGAACAGAACAGAATAACAAGCACAGAAATAGATCTGCACATATATGGTTAATTGATTTTGCGAAGGTTCCAAGATTATTCAATGGGACAGAGACAGTCTTTTCAACAAATGGCACTGGAACAGCTAGGCATTCATACGCAACAAATACATGAACCTTGACCCATGCCTTACATCATATACAAAAAACAATTTGAAATGTATTATAGACCTAATTGTATGAGAAAAAGCTATAAAACTTCTAGGAGAAAAATAGTACAGAATCTTTTTGGCCTTAGATAAAAATTTCTTAGGATACCAAAAGCACAAACCATAAAAAATGTTTAATAAATTGGGCTTCATCAGTATTAAGAAACATTTGCTTTTCAAAAAGACACTGTTAAGAAAATGAAAATGCAAGCCACAGACTAGGAGAAAGTATTTGTAAAATGCATTTATTTCTTTAACATTGCTGTCTCCTGGAACCATGGCACAGAGTTGGTGTAATTTATATTTTTTGCGTATCCTCGTTCTCTCCCTCACAGAATGACTAGAATGACTTTCTAGATACTTTTCTTTCATCCCTTACTATTTATGCTATTGCTCACTCCCTACTTCTCATAATGCTGTCGTGAGTAAGGGCTGGAGAGATTGAGCTACGTGTTATGACATTGCAAGCCCCACATCTTCAATTCCATTTTTGACAAAGGAGAAAAGAACAACAATGAAAAATCTGGAGACAGGCACATGCCCATCAGGAAGCAACTGGAAGCCTGTGGTAGCAACAGGACACCGTCAACAATGACAACAAAAAGCATTGCTTGAACATGCACTTACTGCCAGACATGGCTCTAAATGCTGTGCTTGCCTCATCTCATTTAACTGTAAGAGAAACATCCATGAGCAGAGTCAGCACAGAGTCCCAGAGGAGGCAGGGTCACCTGCAGGCAGCCACCAGGGATTCATTTGGGCCGTTTCTTCCCTTAGACCTGCGACGGATTTTGTTCTTATGTCTCTGACGTGCTTTGTCCTTTGGACTAGATTCATCCATGTCTTGGTTTTACTGTCTTGGGACTGCTGGCTCAATTTAGGAAACATTTTGTTTCAAAATTCAGCCTCTGTTTGGCTTCCTGGCACCAAGCTTTGACCTTCCTTGCTCCCTAATTCTGGTAACCCCTTGCCCTACCTCCTCTTTGCTTCCTCTAGGCTTCCATTTGCAGTTCTTGACCGTCCCTGGGTGACTATGAATCTCATATGTCCCAAGGTATATAATCAACATTATTCGCTTCAACAGTCAACAGGCATCATGCTCCTAGGTCTCTCCTTTCTAGTGTCCTTGACAAGCCACTGTATGTATAGCCAAAGATGGAAGTCTTCAGGTGCTTAACATGAATCCAGATTGGATAGGTCATGCCTACATTTGTCAAGATACCTGTGGAGCTTTCAAAATATTAATATGACTGCAAGGATGTCTTTATTGGTGAACAAAGTTCCAGTGTATTGACGGTCTTCGTGTTGGATTGTCAGTGGGTGATACTTCCGAGCCAGCTGGGGACTTGTGAGTATAACCTGAGCCATAAGGAGATTGGATCAGTGGTTACCACAGCAGCATCATCCTGCTTTTTGCACAGGTATCCTATGAGAATTTGGGCCAGGTACTAAATAACCCAGGGGGGTTCATGTAGCAGCACTGGAAGGCCCAGCAACTGGGCAACATATGTTCCAGGTGGGGCAGAGGGACATTACCGTGCTTCCTGTCAGCTTCAGTTGAACAACAGCAGAACTACAAGAGATGCTTTCTCTTTAGCCAGTTTGCCAAGATAATCTGACTTCTGTTTATGGGCCACAGATGACTGGGGGCAGAGCCATCCTCCCAGTTTACTTCAGCTCAGAATGAGAGCCTCTCAGAATAAACATTCCGGGAAGCAGTTCCGGGAATGAGAGGGACTGACATCAAAGTCTTCAATTCCTTTTCCAATTTTGATCACAGCAAGCCCTTTCACACAGGTCCATGCAGGTTTTCAAAGCTTGAACTGTGCTCGGTTGCTCGCCAGAGGATTTCTGCTCTTCCCGTGACCTGCCAGAGAGGCCGGGGGACGTAGGAATGGTCTCTGCGTGACGCCAGGAAGAGCCGCTGTGCCCGCAGGGCTGGAGTGAAACCTGCGTGGCATCTCGCGCAGTAATCCCTTTCCACTTCACGCAAACGGCTGAAAAGAACCTAAAAGTCACATATTATTTTTTAACTATAAAAATAGATTAATGAGCTGGATGCGGAAGACAGGCAGAACCTCTCTGTGATTTTAAAGGGCTAACCTGCACCAGCAGCCTTAAATCTCCGAATGCGTAAACTCACAGGTCTCACAGTGCCCATAATTCTCCGTGTGGAAGCCCCACCGCCCCCGCCACCCCACCGCCCAGGTCCAACCATTTTACAGAGCAGGAATCTGAGACACAGAAAGGTTCGGGGACAATTTAAAAAAATTGAGTAGTTAGTGGAAGAATGGAAACCTAAGCCCTAGTTTCTGGACAGGAGATCCTGCCCTTGCTTGCAACTATTACCCAGATTATGGACGGTCTTTGTCTCTAAAAACCTGCCAATAGCATCATAGTTATTCCCCAAGAGGGAGGTGAAACATGAACTCATTCTCAGGGAGAGAGGATTTTGGGGTAATGGTTCTAACCAGGCACTTTCTCTTCGGTCCTGACTCACTTTCATGGCCACCTGGAAAGTTTGGCTCGGCGCTGGGGAGTGAGGAGCCCTCCCGCGGCCCCCAGTCTCACAGTCTGTCCCAGCTGCAGAGCTCAGTCACTTGAGCTGCTGTGTTTTGAGTTCACTGTGCACTCTGCCACGACCAGCCCCTGTTGTAAATTTTCCTCCCAGAACACGTGACGATGCATTTCTTGACTATATATCCCAACTGCAGCAGCGGAGTTGTCAGAGCGCTGAGCCTCGCGCGGAGGAGGAAGGTTCTCGGACTTGGCTATTTAGGAATTCAGGACTCGGGACGAATTTGCCAGCCTTCGGTAAGTTAGCGATGCTGCTTGGCTTCAGAGGCTTTTGAAAGAAGGTTATTTCTAGCAACTGATAGATGAAGTTTTCCTTTCCTTTTTTTTTTTTTGTCCTAAGGAAACTTTGTTTTGAATCAAAAATAGTTTTAAGTTGTAGAAGTAAAATGTAAACTTTCTCTTTTCTGCTCAGTCAGTTAAAAAAGAGTTTCCCAGTGATCCCTATGTTATTTATGTTCTCTATGCTCCGTTGTCTTACGCTGATTTTTCCCTTTTGGTTTTTAAAATTGTAAAAGCAATGCTTTTTTTTTTTTTTTTTACACGCTCGCTCTATGAACTGCACATACGATGAATGTGTATAGACTGAAGAAATGAAAGTCCTCCTTACATCCCTCTCACCTCTCCCTGCCTTCTTCCCCACGCACTCAACCCCCTGTTAGCTGTTTGGTGCAAATTCTTCATGCATTTATAAGCTGTTTGATATTTCAATTCTATAACCCTTGGGCTCGCCCTCCGCTCTGTGCCTTGGACCCGCGGGAGAGTTCTAACCTGCAGGTCTCTCCCCAGACCCTGGCCGTGTGAGCAGCGCTCCAATGCTGAAGATGGAGCCTCTGAACAGCACGTACCCCAGCACGGCAGCCCCCAGCCGCTCCCTCGAGTCCCACGTCCCCAGCAACGACAGTGGCAACGGTAATGAGTACTTCTACATCCTGGTGGTCATGTCCTTCTACGGCATTTTCTTGATTGGAATCATGCTGGGCTACATGAAATCCAAGAGGCGGGAGAAGAAGTCCAGCCTCTTGTTGCTGTACAAGGACGAGGAGAGGCTTTGGGGGGAGGCCATGAAGCCGCTGCCCATGATGTCGGGGCTCCGGTCACTGCAGGTGCCCATGATGCTGAACATGCTGCAGGAGAGCATGGCGCCCGCCCTGTCCTGCACCCTCTGCTCCATGGAGGGGGACAGCGTGAGCTCCGAGTCCTCCTCGCCCGACGTGCACCTCACCATCCAGGAAGAGGGTGCCGACGATGAGCTCGGGGAGACTTCAGAGACGCCGCTGAATGAGAGCAGCGAGGGGTCCTCAGAGAACATCCATCAGAATTCCTAGCACCCCCAGGACCTCTGGAGGTGGCCCCATCAGCCTGCACCCTTAGGGAGAGGAAAGACACTTCTCGTGTCTGGTTTCACTTTTGCAGTGCAGCTGCCACTCTGAAGAGACCCCCAGGCAAGCCCCTCAGCGGGAGCCAGCGGCAGCCAGGAGCCAGTGAAGTGCCTGTGGTGTGCACCGGTCTCGGCGAAAGCTCTGAAGACGAGCAGTGTGTACATTTACTTTGGGGCCTGGGGCTTGGGGTTCCTGTTCAGAATCTGGCAGGTCGATGTGCTTGCTCTTGTTTTCTCACTGGATGCCACTCCCAGGGCTGCCAAATGCCCAGGACATGCTGGGGGACTAGGTTTCATTCGCTAATTTGCCTAGTGCTTTGTTCTTCCAAATCTGATTGGCTGTAAGTACCCCATGGAGTACCTGTGGCATTAGTTCACTGGTTACAGTGCTTCTTTTGGAGGTCTTTTGGGTTGGGAGGGGGAATTTAATGGAGGGCTTTCCATGGGAGAAAGCTGGAGGTCTGAACCTGGCCTATGTGTATACCGTAAAGGGAAAAAAAAAAAAAAATGCAACCTTTAAACTTGTTAACACTGGCTGGGATTGTAAGACATGACCCTTTCTCTACCCTGAGACCTTGAACTCTGATCTGGGACCATCCAGCATCTCATGCTGGCATGAAGTTTTTTTTTCAGCTGGAAGGGTTTCTCTACAACCTAAGCTGCACTCCGAATGACTGCGCAGGGGACTCTTCCCAATCTTTCCAGAGGGGCACTGGGAGGGGGCGAATAAAAGCAACTGTTAGCGCTACTGCTGCTCATTTCCCTGCCCAGTTTTCTGAGCTGGGAGAGGACATACTGTGGGCCTCCGTGAGGTGGCCTTTCGTCATGTAGCTGAGACCTAGGAGGGCATACTCAGGCAGAAATTGCACAAAGCTGGGGTCTAAGTTCTGTGTCCCAGTCCCGACAACCCCTGACCCTGATTTGCTGTGTGGTCCTGTGTGTGTCATCAAGAGGCTTCCCGCCTCCGTGAGACTCCTCATGGGCTGTGTCCCCAGGGGCCTGCAAGGGTGTCTTTAACTTTTAAGGCTCTGTGATAAATCCTGCATGGGCTGGTGTGAGGAAGCTTGGACAAAATATTTCCTCCTTGGCAGGGGAGCCTGAAACAAGATCTGCTTCTTTAAAGGAGAAGTTGGAGACTAGAGATGTAAGTAACTGGGAAATGCAGGGCAAATCACCAACTCAACCAGGCTGTCATTTTTCCCAGTCGTGACCCAAAGAGGCAGAGATCACATTTTACTCTGCAAAGTTCCCTGGGTGCTGGAATGTTAACCCTCCGGCTAGGGAATGAGAAACCCAAAAGAAAACGCTCAGGAATGCTCGCCGACGTGTCCATGTCGGCCTGCAGTCGGTAGCGTTGCAGCAGACCCTCTAGGCCCTTGAACACAAGGAGGAAGAGAAACACACCAAAAGGTCAAATTTAATTCTAGCAAAAACAAAACAAAACAAAGCCTTTAAAAACAAACAAACAAACAAACAAACAAACAAACAAACAAACATATGTACTCTCTGGATTGGAGACAGCGATAGCTACTGTTCCCATGGAAGGGTTAACAGTGTAGGAGCTGGTTTATCAGCTCTCCTTAGCACAGTGTTAGAGGAAATTTATGTTTGGGGTGGGGGAAGGGGGCCTCTGTTCACTTTAAAATTCAGAGTGTGGATTTACTCCAAAGGGGACTGTTTAAGGTGAAAGAAGCCAAGTTGAGCTGGCCCCTTGCCTGGAATCACTTGAATTCTGAAACTTTACTGCAACGGACATGTGCGTGGTCACATTTTCCATTGCTTCATCCTGAAATTTGGTGCAAATCTAGCTGCGCCTATTAAAAAGTGATGTATATACTTCCTTCTTATTCTATTAAGTTGTATAAAATGGTCCTCTGTATTTAACAGTTTGTCATTTTCACAGTATTTTTTAATTTAAATAAACAAACACATTTTCCTGAGGAAGTTCTGAGTTTTTTCTTTGGTTCTTCAATGTAATTCCTAGTTACTGCCCTCCCAGACACATTCTGCCAGCTGTCTTTAGATTTGGGTCATTTTCCAAGTTAGACTCCCATGAAGACCTATTTTATTTCTGCCTAAATCATGGACTGAACAGGGTTGGGCTTTTCCATCTTGTGATATGCTTTGCAATGAATGAAAAACAAGTTGCAGATAGTCTTACATCAATTTCTCTTTTTTAAAATTGCTGGGGCTTTGAACTTGAACGTGCAACTGTTACAAAGATGTCCCTCTAAAGGTGGTTGCAAGAAAACATTTGATTTGCATGTAGGCTGAGCAGATACTCTCTACATGGGAATGCAGCAGAACAGACTGGTGGGCAAGAGGGTGGCTGTATACACAGCAGCACAAACTTAGGAAAACACTGGAGCACAAAGGCTATGATTTGGGATCACCCCTCCTGTCTCTCCCAGGCACTTCCACACAAAGGCTGACTTTCTAAGTTCTTCCCACCTGGCCTGGCTGTGGCTTTGGCCTGCATACTTTATGACTTTATTTATACAGTCAGAGGTGCGAAAGAAAAACGACCCAAGCTGGTGACCCATTTTGAATCAAGCAGATGATACGGAACATCCTTACTTTTATGTTTTTCCGTGTCCTGTGCATTTGGCTTTTCTGTTTCAAGGAAATGATTTCATTAGGCTCACAAATAAATGTCTCCCTAAAAGGTTTTTCTGGTGAAGGTACAAGGGAGCCTGGATCTTTCCCAAAACACATCAAGGATCTTCATCCATCAGCTGGTACCTTGACAATGTAAGATGAGAAGATTAGTTTAAAAGACAAGAAAGCCTTTCAATTTATCTTAGCTTAATGACATTCTTGGTGAGGAAATAGTTAAGGAAAACATTTTTACCATGGGCGGAAGAAGAGGGAATTCTAGACTCTAATTGTCCTAAAAATATGCAGAGTACACTATGTCGTTTTAATGGAATATTTGTTTTCTTAAAAAAAAAAAGTTCTAAGCAGAACCTAAGGCCCAAGGGGTTTAATCTGTGTGGATTTACTCATGCATGTGAAAAACAGAAAAGGGAATTTGGCTCTGTGTACCTAGGATATTAGAAACATATTTTAAAGCACTTAAATGTTAGGGATGAGGTAAATGGATCGTCCATGTTGTTCTAATTACACCTTTGTACGTCAAAGTCAGGCAGGGATGCTGTAGAGAAAAAGATTTCTTTCACAGACAGAATCATAGGCTCAAAACTACCGGGAATGGCTGAAGTTGGGCCAAGGCGTGAATGCTCTTGGCTCGTAGCTCTGGTTGGAGAGCAGACCCCATGGTACATTTGAGAACTGCAGTTGCAAGGTTTTGTGGTCAAGCACGTACTGCCAGGGCTCAGCTGAAGAAGGGCCACTTATCATTCTATAAAATGCTGCTCTGATCCTAGATGTTATGGAACAGACCAAACATTGAGCTTCCAATGCAATCGATACTCCCAGTTTAGACAGAACATACATTTGCTCAATTGTCTTACCCCAAATCTGGGCCCCCTGCTGGGGAAAATCATAGGGAGTATCGTGGGTCAAGGGGCAGGAGGTGGCTTCTGTGGTTGGAGGGGGACGTATCAGCCAGCTGACCAGGAAAGTGGGTCTGGCAGGCGCCAGACCTTGGGAAGGCAGGGTGTGAATGGGGTAGGGCAGAGGCTCAGTCTTGTCATGTCCAGGTTTCTAGACTAACTCTGCAGTTGTGTTGCTGTATCGCTCTTTCAAAATGAGAGGACCTGCCGGTCTTGCTCCTGGGGGACCTGCTCACGAAAAGAATGGTGAAACATTGAGAGATACCCAGCTCTGCAGGAGTCTAAGGAAGAGCCAGCCTCCAGCTTCTTAAAATGTGTCCTGGGCATCCGTCTGTGAATCAAGTCACTGAAACCTCCTTTCCTGCGGACGGTTTCCTCAGGAGACTGTGATGTTTAGGAAAAAGACACGATTTGCCAAAGGAGAAGGGTCATAAGAGAGAAAAACCACTGTTCACTTCTGCTTTTCCCCATTTCTGAAATGTTTCCTCCCACACAGGAAGGAACAGTTTGGGATGTGAGCGGTTACCATGGAGATAACCAGCCAAGGTCACTTGTTTGAAGGAGCCCATGGCCCCACAGCACGGGATGTGAGTGAGTTGATGAAGTTGGGATTCGGTCCTTGACTCAGGCCAAGAGCTTTGAGGCCACGGCAGCCTCCGCCCATGACATGGAGGGGGAATGCAGGGAGTTGACTGATCTCCTTTTGTTCTGGGCGACTCCATCTTTCATCCCTGTGCACCTTTCCTGCCCCATGCAATACAGGGCTAAGCTTTTGTTCTCCCTGCTCTAGGAATTTATTTCCTTACCTTGCATTTTGTTGCTAAGAAGCACGTTGAAAGAATTCTTCACATCAACAACTATACTCTTTCCCTGTCCTGAATGCTTGTCTACCTTTTGCTTAAAAATGGTAAAAGAGCCCTGGCTGATGTGGCTCAGTGGATTGAGTGTTGACCTGCCAACCAAAGGCTTGCAGTTCGATTCCCAGTCAGGGTACATGCCTGTGTTGTGGGCCCAGCCTCCAGAAGGGGGCATGTGAAAGAGAGCCACACACTGATGTTTCTTTCCCTCTCTTTCTACCTCCCTTCCTTTCTCTCTAAAAATAAAAAAATAAATAAACTCTTAAAAAAATGGTAAATGGCAGACTCTCTCCTGTCTTACTTCTGGCTGCTGTAGCAAAGTGACACAAACTGGGGTGCTTACAAACAACACACATTTATTTCTCACAGTTCTGGAGGCTGTAAGTCCAAGATCAGGGTCCAGCATGGCTGGGTTCTGGGGAAGGTCAACTTCTGGCTTGAAGATAGCTATCTTTTCATTGTGTCCTCACAGATAGAAAGCAAACTAGCTCTCTGGCCTTTTCTTACAAGGGCACCAATCCCATTCATCAGGGCTCCACCTTCATGACCTAATTACCTTCCAAAGGCTCAATCTCTTAAATACCATCATATTGAAGATTAGATTT